TTTGTGTATGGGCGTTTATGGAAAGTGGGTAAAAAAGTCCGTAAGTTGCCTGGTGTTGTGAAAAATCCTTATGTCATTGAGCTCTATGAGACTTTGTGGTGATGTTGTTGCTTGGATGTGAGCGGGAATGATATCATGTTTATCCACTGGCCTTTATGGAAAGTCCGGAAAATCCAGCGGTGTTGTGAAAAACGTTGTTGTTTGGAAGTGTCTTTTCTCCTCCTTCAGGCGAAGGCCTCCCCTACCTCGTTTCTTGAGCTTGGTGCTAACAGGGCGAGCCCGAGTTCCTTCTTCCAGTTGTCAGCGAGATCTACCTCCTCTGGTGGGTCGACTGTGGCTGAGTTGAGGAAGAAGACGGATGCTATGGTCAAGAAGGTGAGAATTGGTTGTTTTTACCCGGGGAAAAACGTCGGGTGGCGCGTGATGGAAAACATCGAAACTCTAAAACGCGTAGCCAGATCACATCACTTGATTGTGGTGAATTTGTTATTGATGTTGGTTTCTCGACTACAATGGTCCCGATCCGGTCGTGATTCTTGGTGGAAGCATGCTGCTGTCTTGATGATCAGTTGAACGCCCAGATGGCTCAGCTAGATGTGGATATGGCAAAAACTGTTAAAGACGAGAAGGCTGATGTGGCTAAGTTGGAGAAGTCTCGAGAGGCATCCGATAAGTGAGTCGGTTTAATTTTGTGGCGCGCGAAATTTGTGTTCCGTGGATGGCAGGAAAATGGAGCAATCGGAGCACGAGTTTGAGAAGGAGGAACAGAAGCTTGTGGAAGATCCAGGTGGGCATGGCTGGGGGGGGAGCTTTCTTGTCGCGGTTGCTGTTGTCAAATCCTGCACAATTGTGAGAAAATATGCACATGGTCAACTACTTGTGTCGGTGACAATGTTGAAAATTCTGAGGAAATTTTCATGGGTTTTCATACATTTCTAGTCTAAGTCGTCTTCTCGACGCAGTGAGGAAATTTTTGAGCTCTTTCAATAAACGTTTGACACTGTGAAAGTTGCATAAACCGCTCTGTCGTCGTCATGCTGTCTCCCGCCCTCTACTCGAGAAAATGGGAATAATCGTCCGGATTACGGCCGTTCGAAAATAGACGCTGTGAAAGTTGCATAAACATCTCCTCTGCTTATCTTATGAAGGTAGAATGCTTCTTCGCCTCAGGGCCGTCTGCCGGAACTTCCTCCTTTATGGAGTCTTCGAAGGGGCCGGCGTTTTTGGAGCCTCTTAGGAAGGTCGCCAACGAGGCTCGGACGTTTTCGATGAGTATGCGGCAGGAGGCGAAACAGTTGGAAGATCTAGCCAATAAGAAATGTAGGGAATTTTGTGGCGCGTGACGGAATGCAGCTCCTTGTTTTATCAGCTCGCACGCTTAAGAAGCACCCTGTGGGAGAATCTGCATTCGCGCCTCTCTCGTTGCTGGAGGTGGGCCGGGGTCCCGACGTGCCCGATTATGCAGTGGCCATGAAAGCGGAGAATGATGACGATGCTAAAGTTCAGCAGAGCTTGGCTAAAGCAGAGAAGGCGGTAAGTTGTTTATTGTTGGTTTGTGGTCATACCGCGCCTTCCGCAATTCAGCTCGCGACGCTCAAGGAGGATGTGCAGACGCAGTCGACTGATCTCGCTAAGGAGGAGCGGGCTGATGCAGTGGCTAGTAGCTTTGTTGAAGGCGATGGGAAGAAGAAAGTTGAAAAGTGAGGAAAATATTATCACTAAAGGAAAATAATTATTTGATGTTTAATGGAGTTTCACCCGTTTTATGTGAACTGGTATAAAACTCCGTGAAAAACGCGATATTCACACTACATAGTAGTCGTGAAATATGTTTTTCAATAGTGTTTTTCATATCACCAGGGTGAAACTCCAATAATAATTATTCTCAAAATTTATAATGAGGAGAAGAGGGCGAACTTTTCCGTATTATTTAGAGCAATGTTCGTGGGAAACTACAGGCGTTGATGATAATATGAAAAATTATTTTTGGTGGTTTTCATACCCTTTTATAGTTTGTGAGGCAACTCTCAAGCTCAGCTGAGGTAAGCGAACATATATTCGAAAACTGTCGCGGGGTGGACTCCATTTTTCGGAGGAATATGTTATAAGCAGTGAATTGTAGTAAAACTACAACTTTGTTCACGACATGCTAAGCTGAGCATCTTTGGTGGTCCTGTAGCGGACCTATTTTGAATCTATATGACTACAACCTAAAGATTCCATTGCAGGTCTGGACAGAAATTGAATCAAATCAACAGTGTTGGGGGCACGGCGCTCCTCCAGAGGAAAGGGAAGAAGTATTTCGATGACGATGATGATGATATGAGCGACGACCTCTCTGGCTCTTCTTTATCGATGGTGGATGAAGACCCTGATTTCAAGGACGACTCGGGGGCGGAGACTTCGGGAGATGATACCGAAGCGGCCGATGGAGTTTCGGCTGGTTCTGGCGAGGGTGATTCATCCTCATTTGATTCCTCATTTTTGGAGGCGAAAGAAAAGAGTCCAATAAGCCTGGTGGGTATTTTCGGACATGTTTTGAATCTTAGATGGGTGAACCTAAGATATGTTTTTTTTGTTTTAGGACAGCGATGAGCTGAGTTCTCGTGAGAGGGAGGCGGCACGACTTGACGATGCGTTTAATAGTCAGCTGGCTAAACTGAAAGCGAGCAATTTGGAAATGCAGGCGGAGGCGAAGGCTGAGGTGAGCTTTGTCAGAATCACTACTGGGGGGCGAGCCGAACTATATTGCGTAAACAATGGAGTTTCACTACCCGTTCTACGTGAAGTGGCGTAAAACTCGGTGGTGAAAAACGCGATATTCGCGGTGATATGCAGTAGTCGTGGAATAAGCTTTTCACCAGTGTTTTCATATCACTAGGGTGAAACTCCAATGTAAATATGTAATGTGATGAAAGTAACCCTTTGGGACTGTGATAGCGACAAGTTGTTCACTATCATTAATATTGGGAATAACGCGTATTTTTCGCATTTGCATTATATCAAACTCACACGTATCATATGGCGAGTATTATCATTGGAGTTTCATCCAGTTTACGTAAAGTGGCGTAAAACTCCGTGAAAAACGCGATACTTGCGGCTTGCAATAGTCGTGAAATATGTTTTTCACTCCATTATTGCATTTAAAGTGATTATTGTTCAGCTTGACAAGGCGTTGGATGACCAGGCTAAGTTCGAGGCAGAAAACCCGAATCTGAACACCGACATTTCCTCGTTGATGCAATACGGCACCAACGACCAGAGCGCTTACAATTTCGAGAAGCACGCAGATGAGATTCGTGACCTTAAGAGCAAATGGGAGAGGGAGGCGAAGCAACTCGAGGTCAGTTTCGAACTGCTGGAAATTCGCAAAATGGTGGTGGAAAAAGCGCGCGCCCGTGACTCATCAGGTTACGCGGGATACTTCGGAAGCTGATGCGGAGTGGCAGAGTAGATTGGATGCTCTGAAAGAGCAGAAGCAGGAGAAGGAGGCGAAGCTCGACAAAATAGAGGAGAAAATGGCGGCTAGTGTGGCGGCTTTAAAAGAAGTAAACTTTGTTGAACTACTTGAGGATGTTAGTTTTATTATATTATTACGTCAACCTATGTGTTGGACGCTTGTGTGGAAATTATCACCAATAGATTTTGATGATAGAGTTTTACCCTAGTGATATGAAAAACATATTTGGCGACTACTACAGGCCGCGAATATCGCGTTTTTCACCATCGAGTTTTACGCCACTTCACGTAAAACGGGTCGTGAAACTTCAATGTTCTGATCATCATCGCTGTTGGTGCGGCACAATGCAAATGAAATTTTAAGGGAAAACTCGTTGGCTATTTATATAATGCTACCATAATTCGTCCGTAATAAGTGAGGGAACTCCTTGAGTCAGCTGAAGGCAGCGAACATATGTTCCTATTCCAACGTCGGTGGGCAGACGTTGAGCGGAGACGTGTCGGGTATATGGAGGATTATATCCTTTGTGGCGCGCGCTTTTTGTTTGAACGAATGACGATGAATTTGTGATGGCAACGTAATTGTAAGAGTGCGTTTTTTAGGATTCTCATTCGATCAGCGATATTGTGAAACAGCGCGAGAAGCACACTGGAAAGGAAGAGTCATTTTTGGAGGTTTCGGGGAAGCATGGGAGAAGTACGGCTGAGGAAAGTCTTCATAGGTGAGGAGCTGCTCGAGAAACGACATAATGAGGTTGAATGTTGGAATGAATATTCGTGATATGCGCGGGGTGCGGTAGGGATGTTGCACGCAAGCGCACAGTATGTGGATTTATTTTGTTTTTTTTTCTCACGAGAATGCATATGAAATTGGCAAGCACTCTATGGATACGAATTTCGTAGTTGTAAATTTATTATTTCTATCGAAAAATTCGAGATTTGTAGTGGACTTGATCGTCAGATTGAGCAATGAAATTGACGACGACCTGGCTAAGACGCGCGCTGATGAGCTCACTATTCGTGATGAGGAGAAGCAGTTTAAAAACGACGGTCTTAGTCCGTTGAAAGAGTAGATGGAGAATGGTGATGTTGGGCATGCGAACATGCTGTTGTCGGGACCTGAGGTTGAGTTGGGTGGGAAATGTAGAGCAGCGAAAGGGATTACCAGTGTTAGAGTAGGAATATATGTTCGTTTTCCTCACTTGAAATTTGCATCAGGGTAGA